GATGATAAACGCGGCAGTGTTCTGTTCGAAACAGGAAGAGTGTCATTTCGGGTTTGGCCGGCTCAGAGCAAACCCTCGATACACAAAACCTCATGCAGACTGCTGTGGGTAGTGGTGGTTCACCACATTCACCTGGTCAATACGGAGAAGAACGACCAGATACAATCCAGGTCTTCAGAACAGACCAACTCTGGCCGAAGGAACTGCATCTTTTCAGTTGTGCAAAGGGAAGGTCATCTGGGTGCATTCCCGCTCATCGGAGGCCTCGACAAGGTCAACCTCGTGGACGTGCGCAGTACGACGGACAGCGCAAACGAGATGATGCTACTGGAAACTCCACGGACGTGTGTTTGAGACTGAGACCAGGAGGCACAGCAGGGTTGGGAGGGCACTGAACACGCTACCCAGCCTTGCCGATGGCGGTGATCCCAGGGCCTCTTTCAAGTGAGATCTGTGGATCAGTCAGCTGCTAACGGCCCAAGGGGACAGATCAGCCTCACGACCTCTTCTCATTTGTAACGTTCCTTACGCTGTATTCTGCCCATGGCTTGTGAAAAAGGAATCCCAACCAACTGACTTCATATACCACCTCACCTTCCAGAAACAATAACAACAGGGGCAGCCCAGACTCACAAGGCAATGTAGGTCAGGAATGGCAGCTTGCCAAGGTCAGAGGCTATTGTGACAAAGAGCCTGAACACCACATAGAGCTTTACTCAGCCTCGGCTTACTGGCCATTGTGTCTTTCTAGTTGATCAGCTGATAATGAACAGACACAGGTGGGGATAACACTGACACTGCATCTGATATAAGCACAATAAATGTTTTTTTTTTTGCCTTTTGCAGTGGTCCAATGGGGTCGATTTTAAGACACACGCCTTAATGGGGGCAGATCTGAAACTTTGCTACTGGTTCAGCATTGATATGAATTACAAATCGCACGTGCCCTTTTAAAAAGCTGAAAGCAAATTCACCAAAGTGTTACCAGAAAACTGCTGTCACAAGGCTGAGTCAACCTGAAGGGTATCCATGAAGTGATATAGGATACAAGCCAGGACTACACCTGGGGTGGGGTGTCAGACACCCACTTATGTGCAAACACACACACACACCGAGAGGCAGCAACACTAACCTCAGTGTCAGTATGCTTCCCGAATGGATGCCAGAATCGAAAACTAAAATGAATTCGATTTGGAACGCAAGACTGTGACATTGTTAATTATTAAGAACTTGGTTGGAGCAAAAACCACAAGACACAGTGTTTTTCTAGGGTCATAGATGTGAACTTCTGCCGTAGACAACCCATTGATCCGTTGATAACAAATCTTTATCAGCAGGACGAGTTGACCAACGTTGAGTTTGTCCCACGGTGTCAGTGGGGCACGTGCTACAAAAATAATCGTCGTTTTTCTATTAATCGGTTTATGAATTTGCTGCTGTTATAAACAAGTCAGTTTCTTTTGTTGTTCTTTATCTATCTCAGGCCATTGAAGATGAAGTATGTAAATGAACATATGTAAAGTATGTTTTGCATGCCTGTTGCCTATATTGTGTGAGGTCTTATTTTGCATGGCTTTTGCGTGCGACGGAGTGGTTGATTCAGCGGCACTTGTTTTTCACGTGGACCTGTTTCTGCTTTTATCCTCTGTCACACCATAAAATCCAACAATCCACCAGTCCTCATCCCCACCCCACCCCACCGAACACCCTTAACCTGATCGTCTGCCTCAGTGTTGTTCCCCTCCACGTTTCTGGAACACCCACCCACACAACAAGCCTTTTTTATAATACAATTACTTGGAACGTGGATTTTATTTGTTCAGTATATTGATTCAGGTTAACTGCCACGTAAACGAGCACACCCAAATTCATTTAATGGCAACTGGATTTACTGGATTACCGGATTACTACAACTGGATTTACTCACATAATATACCGTTTTGGATTTTTCCTAATAGATTTTCCAATAATTAATAAAACATTTTTGTCAATTCATTTATATCTTAGACTGCATCAAAGCCTTGGGAACGCAATGATTAGGGCTGTCGGCGCCTCTCTGCTAGAGATATTCTGGAGGCTCGACTGCTTGTAGTAAACCGGATCACGGCTGATCTCTCGGTCTAAAATTGAAACTGAAAATAAATGTACTCCGGAGCTGGGGGGCGATCTTTAAATGTGTCCGCTACATGGGTATGACATCCTGAATGCTCGTGTAGCGGTGTGCATTAGAAATCCAGTATTGCCACTGGAGCCAATATCGCCAGCCTAACAGGGAAGGTAAGAGGTAACCGGCATCATTTTAACCATCTGTTGCAGTATGTACAAGCTCAGAAAAGGTCAACAGCTCAAACTGGCCCCCTGGCAATTCAAATGAGATGTTATTTGTCTCCATGAGCCGAACAGCTCCTAACTGCTGCTAGTGTGCCACAGGCGTGACCCGGAACTTCAAAACTTACCAAGCCGAAATAATAGCGTGTAGGAGGAGAGCAGAGCTGTTGGCGAGGAAATGGTTACACAGGAAGCCAGAGACCTTTTTTTCTTATGTTTTGTTGTTATTGTTGTTGTTCCATATTTACCTGTAAAGGCATTCGTCTGAATTTCCATATAAAACGGCACGCTTCTGGATGATAGGTAAGTAATTTATTTTAGCAATGAACAGAGGAGCGAATACCCTGTGCTTCTGCACTGTACACAGTTTGATGCTGCTATTAATAACGATGCTAAGGCTAAACATGTATTTATACTCCTGTTGAACGATTGTAATTCGCTCTTCGTCGGCATGTTTATAAGTTCTCAGAATACGAAACGGTAAAAAGCAGGAACAGCAACGTACTGATTTTGTAGCGGTTGACTTAAACTGGGTGTGACTGTCACTGCTGTATTTTGTTGTGATGTCACTCCTTGAGATGTTAGACAAAACGAAAGAATAGATTTGTGCACCCGAATATCTCAAATAAATCTGTCTTTGGTTTGAATGAATAGGCTAGCAAGGATATTGTGATTCACAATTTTTAGTATTAAAATACAGTGTTACTTTAAGACATGATACTGTATCATGTACATTAAAAGAAATTATTCTCTGCTTTAACAACAGTTGTTGTTCTTATTGTTACAACGTCGTAACGTTTACTGTTTTGTAATGTATTGTCTGCATTGTGAGGGCCTATCTGCTGTAGTGTGCATGTCCCGAGAGAACAGCGCAAATAAGATTCTCGTTGTACACGTACACATGGCAAATAAACTCCTCTAATTCTCTCTATAAGTTGTAAAAGGTTCATACGGATGGGAGTTTTTCCGTTAGCAGTACAGCTTGAAATGCACCCATTCCGTTGTGTTTGCTGTAGTTACAACCACTGTCCACCTGGTGGCACAGCTATGCTATACGGTCAAATGAAATCTACTGCCTTTGCGTTTCGAGGTAAATTGAGATAAAAGTTATTGCTCCCTAGGGGAAAGTTCTTGTGGACAAACTGAACGTTCTGTACATCTGAATACATAACAAAACATTATACATCACGTCTATTGCACATGCATAACTCTTTGCAAAAAATAGTTACGGCCGGTTACACAAGAAAAAGAAAGTCCCTTTAAAAAGAAGTGGTAATGACGATACCAGCTGAATATAAAATAAAGGAGATTAAAACATCCTGTCGTTTTACAGTTCACTATATTTCTTAGTAGTCGTATTCCTTAGATGAGGAAAGAAAATGCCTTTTACATGATAAATAATGATCCATACAAAGAGTAGAATCATTTGGTGCACACTTAAGCCCTATCTTTACACTATATTTTAGGAAATATCATAGTACAGGCTGAGCTCAAGGTAATGGTTAAATACTAATAGCATTATTTCTAAGCCTCACACCGCCCTGTGAGAGTTAAGTGACGTCAAAACTCAACGGTCGGTGTTCAGTTGCAGGCTGAGGAACCCTCCTGTAGAATCCTGGCCCCAGTGAGCTAACAGCACAACAACAGGCTCGAGCCAGCTGTGGTTATACTACGGGGCTGTACTTCTCTATGCACTTTAATCACTGGGTCACTCATGGGGACCCAGGAGAGCTCGGTTCTACACATGGAACCCATCTAGTTAACTCTGTAGCGAAGTTTAGAAGAAAGCCTGCAGTACTCGTATTGTGTGTGTTTCAATTTCTTTAGGCATGGTGAACCTCGGGGGGCTATTCTTACTTCTGAAGCGTGTGAGAAACTGAAGCCGATCCCACAGAATGGGGAACCAGGGCAACCTGGAAGACGTATTTGTAGCTGTGATTCGACCGAAGAATCCCGTCAGTCTGAACTCCAAGGAATACAGGGCCAAGGCGTATGAGGTAAGGAGGAAAACTAGATAGAAACGGAAGTGCAATATTATGTCTAATGGTTCAGATGTTTAGGAACCTGGGTTTTAATTATTGAAAAAGTACCACCGACCTTTAAGCCTCAGCTGAATCCTTAACCCTTATGATAGCTTTACTGCTTTCTCTATCCCTGACTGCTGCTCGAACTCTAACAATTACCCTCTCTTAAATCCTGATCCTAACCTTAACACCAGATCCTAATTCTTACCATATTTCTAGTCCAATTTTTAACAGTAAACCCAGATTTGACTGCTGTCTGTTGCTTTAACTGTAAGCTAGATCCCAGCTTTACTGTTAACCCAGCCTGTAGCTTTAAACATAACTGGCACCACAACCCTTAATGTAGCCCTCATCCTTGCCCTCAACCTTACACCTAGTCCTTAGCTTTAGCCTAACCCTGTTTATGTCTCCAGCTCTAACCTTTGCACTGATTAAAAACTGTTACTGCTTCTTTTTTCACTTTCAGATTCTTCTCTTAGAAGTTCCTTTGGAAGGGAAGGAAAAGAAGAGGAAGAAAGTTCTTCTAAGAACCAAAATCCAAATAGATGGTGATAAATCCAGGTCAATTTTAGAATATGTGGATGAGACAACCAAACCTGTATCGAACAACCAAGGGTTCAAAGGTAGATTCAACTATGACTTGATTGTGGGCATGGAATTCTTGGTGTGGTTATTTGTGCATGACCTAAATATATGATTTTAGGAATTCTCTAATTGAAACATGGTATCTGGTCAAAGTGTCTTTACATTAATTTGCATTACAGTACATTAATTTGCAAGTACAGAGTGGGCATCTTACATCACCTGTACATATACCATGAGCAGTTTAAAAAATGTGGACATTTTTAATAAATAGGAAAACGTTATCCGTTCACATTTAATTGACTAATTTAGCTGACAGGCTTTTGTGCCACTGGTCCATGAAGGATTTCAGCCATAGCCACAACAGGTTAGTAAGTTAACGTGAGAGGAATTGTAGTTGAAATGCATTGTTGAAAGTCTTTTGCCTTTTTAAAAATATTGTTTGAACATTGTGTCCACCCCTGCTCTGATTAGTGTAGTAAATTCTCACAACAGCAGCAGCAGTCTTGCATACAAGTTGGGTGTATTATGTCTGATAGGTCAGTAGTGTCTGATGTTGTCTTTTACATACACATACACTTGAAAATTATACTCTGGCTTTCTGATTATAAGCAACCATGTCTACACAGGGCATATTCATGTGCTAGAAATGTTTCAGCAATAGCGTGTGTTAAATTAAACTTTTTTTTTTATTTTGTTGAAAGGTATGACTTTGGAATTAGCCAGTTCTGCCTGATGTTGTTTTATTGTAAAGAAAATATAGCAGGGAGCTGTGTCATGTGAGCAAACAAGAGGTAGTGAAGGCAGAAGAAAGAACAGTATTTTTGCAGAAAGGCAATATTTTGCAGAAATTTTTAATTGCTGAAAATTTGTTTTCTTGTTTTTTTTACTTACCGTCGTGAAACACTTTTGAACCGTCCAACATCGTTGTTGTTTTCTAATTCAATATAATTTTGGTTGCTGTGAGCAAGTGGTTTCCTGTAACTGTAGCCACAAAAACAAACATTTCAGATGGCTTTAGTGAGTGAGCATGCTCGTGCTGGAAGAGGTGAGGATAGTTTTTTTTTTTCTTTTGTCGTGGTGAGGCTTATGACTCAAAGGCAGCCGTCTCCGAACCCAGGCTTTTTTATCGAGTCTCTGTCAAGCTGAAACACACCTTACTGGATGAGGCAGAAAAGAAAATAACCTTGGCCAAAACTTTGTTTTTTAAACCGCAGTTTATACTGCTCATGCATTTTATTACAAATACATGCAGTTTGTGCAAGAGGGTGCATTTTACTCAATTCAGAAAAGTGACGTTCCCAGCCCTGATCTTTGGGGACCACTGTGTGTCCTGAGCTCAAAATCCCCAGTGGTAATTCATGCCTTTAATTGGTCTCCTGGCTTGTTCAGTCTTTTGGCTAATCTGATTCTGCACTCAATCCTGAGTTTCACAGATCTCCCATTTCAAGCTTATAGTATCCAACAACTACAGCTTTTGACCTCTATAGACTTTCTCCTCTATGTACCTGTCTAAACAGCACTTAATTACTCAATTACTTAGTTACTCAAGTTTATAATGTGGATATACTCACTCAGGTGGGAGTGACAATTTATTAAACACTTCTACAATTAGTTTAGTTTCCTTCTGTTTGACTGGTCACGCTTCAGGAAACATCCTTAAATAATGGGTAGTTCTGACACTTATCAGTTGTATTTACAAACATGCCACGAGCATAAAACGTAAAATACATGTGTCCTGTAATTAAGAACTAGAACACAACTAGAACCTGTAATTAAGGAGAAAAATGCAGAAGGGAGGGTTGGGAATAAAATGACAGAATATTATTCCACGTTGGTTGTGTCTTTCCAGGAAATTCTGAGACTTGTATTGCAATCATTACATGGCCTGAAGAACTACAGTGTCAGTCAGACAGATAAACAGGGCTCTTTCGTCAGGGTGTCTTTGCATCAGTAAGGCTTTTGTAGAAGGCATGTTAACGGGAGCGCTGCGGTTGTTGTGTGAGGAGAGAACAGTTTTTTAAAGGGCATGGCCGTGGTGTGTGTTGCTCGCTGCAGGTAAGCGAGTGGTACACATGAGGACGTTTCCTCTGGATGGGGAGAACGCGGGGAAGGAGGCCTCTTTGTTCGTTGTGCCAGTCACTCCCAAAGGTAAGCTGCTGCCGGACGTTTTTTTAAGTCGGAGATTAGCGGAGGCTTTGCTGTACCTGAATGTGTTGCCTGGAAGAGATCTTACTGTTTTCATAGATGCATATAAAAATGGCTTTTAACATATTCAGTCTAAAATAGAAAAATGAATAATAAGATGTATGTAATGGCAATAAAATGAAATGTGGTGAATAAAACCTCTTACCCGAATGGCAGTGGTTTGTGATTTCAGTGTGGATGGTTTGAGTTCAAATTACAGAATTATAGAAACCAGTGTAGCTGTGAGTTTCACTGAAAGTTTACCTGCAAGAGCTAATTTGGCCATTCTTTTTTTTTTATCTGGCACTCATTTATAGTGGAACTTGGCTATGGGTTCTAAGATGGCATCTAAACCTGTTATTTTCCAGTAGAATACTGGTAAGCAAGATGTCTGTCCTCACTTGTTCCTAATTCACAGACAACAGCAAGCCTGTGTATTGCCCCGGGAGTCCAAGCTTTTACTGCTTTCAAGACATCATGCGAGTGTGCAGTGAGACGAGCACTCATTTCTCTACTATTACAGCTCGGATGCTCATAGCTCTGGACAAGTAAGATTCAATTCCAACGCTCCGTGAACGTAATACCTCTACATGTAGAGCACCGCAGAGTATGAGCGGTTCTTGTCAGCCTTTGGTGCAGATCGGCTCATCTGTCAGGCTTACATCTGCTGACGGTGCTCTGTTTCTCTCCCTGGTCCCAAGGTGGCTCGCCGAGCAGCACGCCGTACCCCACGCCATACCAGCGCTCTTCAGACCCGCCCCTGTGGAGCGGGTTAAAACCAATGTCACCAACCCTGCCTATTCCATTGAGAGCAGCCAGTCAGAAGACACGCTGCACATGGGCTACACTGCCCTGGAGATAAAGAGCAGGATGATGTCTCTGGAGAAAGCAGACATGTGTATTCAGAACCCACTCTATGGCTCTGATCTGCAGTATACAAATCGGGTAAATTCAAATGTTAGAAAATTGTGCAAAACAGCTCTGAGCTGTAGAAGTATACAGATATTTGAGTGTGTTATTTGCTTCGGAACACTGATATAAGGTTGAAGTTTGGTTTAATCCAATTCCACAATGTCTACTGGCAATTCAGATTTACTCCACAGTGCTCAAGTTTTTTAAATCTGCTGGGTGGCTGTTTTCTTTGATGCAGGAGTGATTAAAAGGCGTGAGTGCATGTTGTGTGTGAGCATCCTCTCAAGCACTGCAGCAAAGTGCATGTCTCTCATATCCCCAGGTGGACAAAGTGGTCATAAATCCGTACTTTGGCCTTGGAGCTCCAGACTATTCCAAAATCCAGATCCCAAAGAGGGAGAAATGGCAGCACAGCATGAGCAGTGTGACTGAAGACAAGTGAGAAACTTTTCTTTCTCAATCGTTCCTGTGCCACTGAACGCTGGAACAGATCTCGGGCCTCAATGAAGTTCTTTGAACAGACTTCTGAAATGATCCTTTTTGTTAGAAAATTGACCTCTGACCGCATAATACTTTTGAGTTTGGATTTATGTGTATGTTAACGGTGTGAAGTTTGTATGAGTATCAGCACTTTATTCAGTATTTCATGGACACAAAAGTGTTCTTATTGGCAACCTTGTTTTCGAGCCCTAGGATTTTTTGCATCTCAATATTTGTTTGCACGATTTGCAGCCTCCTTACATTTAGTTAGCAATCATTGGTACAACAATTTGTCCATTTATTAGTGCGGCCCTTTTGCTGGTTAGACTTCCCTCAATTTTCCAAGGGTTTGGCTATGAAACCGCAAAGAAATTCTTGCAATGATGAGAAGCGAATTAAAGAGCTGCTACTCCCAGTTGTTCCTTCTCAGTGGCCCCTGACAGCCTTCACTATGGTAATAGCGGTGATGGAACTGTATTTCTACAAGCTGTCGCTCTTGATGATACCCCTGGAAAAACACGTAAATTTGCAAATACTGGAGTTTCTCGGGACGGGACGTGTTCGGGAACGCCAGCCGGGTCGTGTATAATTTTCTGGTGAACCCGTGATGGGGTCCAGGGTCCTTTCAGGAATGAGGATGTGTCTGTGTGCTCGGTCCTCAGGGAGCGGCAGTGGGTGGATGACTTCCCCCTGCACCGCAGTGCCTGCGAGGGGGACACCGAGCTGCTCACCAAGCTGCTGGACAGCGGCTTTTCGGTCAATCAGCTGGACAGTGATCACTGGGCCCCCATACACTACGCTTGCTGGTAGGTTGTCATGGGAAAGCAGAGGCTTCCCAGGTGTCTTTAATGCATCGCTGAAGTCAGTAATAGTAGAGTATCCTTCCATGTTTCCTTGTTGACAAAGCAATATGTATAATATACTGAGAAATCTAGCAGTGGTCTAAACTGAGAGAGAGTTTTTAAGTGCAGTGTACTTAACACCTGCTAGAAACCTGCTACATCCGCATGTAAGTGTTCACTTTTGCACATTATAATGTCCTTTGAAAACCTAATTTATAACCTGTATTTGCCACGGTGTTATCTGCTGTGTAGTGGGGTTGCTGGTGCACAATGGCTGCCATGTGTCATCCAGGTAGGTGCTGTCCTTCATAGATGGATGAAATGGATGCAGTAAAATGAGGCTTATAAATTCAGAGAATTATCATTGTTAAATATGGCTATTAAAGATACCATGCAAGTTATTTCTGTATGTTTGTGAGCACATTTCACAGTCTGATGCACAAATATAACAGTGCCAAGCCAAGTAATGTGCATGAGCAGGTTTGGGCCTGTGAATTTGATTCGAGTTTGAACTCCAGCTCTTCTTTTTCATTAATTGTCATATTGCAGGCGGTTGACTGCATTTGGATTGTGGATTGGTTAATAGTGTGGGGGTACCACAGGGATCTGTACTTGGACCACTGCTCTTTTAAATTAAATAATAAAACATCAAAACATCAGCTGATACAGCTAATACACAGTCAAGTGTGCCGATGATACTAAATCAAGAGGATGAGCACACAGTAGAAACATCACTCAATTTTTCAACCTTGTATGGTGGGCCTTATCAAAAGCTTTCTGGATATCTTAAATATACTGCATTATGCCATGTGCCATTTTATCTCATGTCCTTGTTGCTCATTTGAGGAATTCAGGCGAAATAGTTGAAGTGAATTTTGCTGCAGGTGCGGAAAGGTGGAAGCCACACAGCTGCTGCTGGACAAGGGGAAATGCAATCCCAACCTCCTGAACGGGCAGCTGAGCTCCCCGCTGCACTTTGCTGCAGGAGGAGGACATTCCGAAATAGTGCAGCTTCTGCTCCAGCACCCGGAAATCGACAGGGTAAGCCTATTATCGAGCAGCACGCTGGCGCAGTGGTTGGTATCGGGGCCTCGCCCCGCTGGAGCCCTGGGTTCACTTTCTGAGGTGGCATCTGTGTAGATTTCGTAGGTTCTCCCTGTTTGTGCGCGGGTTTCCTCCGAGTGCTCCAGTTTCCTCCCACGATTCAAGAACATGCTGGTCGGTTCATTGGCTTCTGGGAACAGGAGCCTTGGCGTAAGTGCGTGCGTGTTTGTCCATATAGGTTAAGGTGTGTCTTGAAAACCTCTGTGGAATCTGCAATATCCAATGAGTCCTTCGTGTAACAACTATAAGATATATCATTGCTTATTTTTTCCAGCACATCGTGGACCAACAGGAACGAACACCATTACAAGTCTGTGAAGAGAACAAGCAGAACGATTGGGAGGCAACTGTTAAGTCCCTCCAACAAGCCATGAACAAACCAGTATGTGAATTTATATAATATTTATACTTAACATGAAATACTGTTTAACTGAGATGTCTTAGAGCCAAGTTCGTACTGCATAGATTTCAACTTCATAAGCTGGACATGTATTCACACTTTTTGGGAGTTTTAAAAATGCATACTGTGTTTTAAAAAGTAAAAAAACGCAAGAACTGTGAGGGAAAAAAAGCTGAGAAAATTCAACAATGCATGACACATTTGTCCATGTAATAGTGCTACCAGTGGTATGTGAAAAAAAACAGTTTAAAGATGTTATTGATCCTCCCTGTAAAAACCATTCAGCTTCTGAAAAAAATCACACATCACTATGATCTATTTTTCTGCAAATAATTTTTGCAGAAGAGCAAATGCTTGTTTCCGTTTCTAGTATGAAAAGGTGCGGATCTACCGCATGGACGGCTCGTACCGCTCTGTGGAGCTGAAGCATGGGAACAACACCTCTGTGCAGCAGATCATGGAAGGCATGAGGCTGTCCCAGGAGACGCAGCAGTACTTCACCATCTGGATCTGCTCCGACAACCTCAGTAAGAACTGCAGGCCTGTCTCCTGCTGACTGACTGGAATTCCCGGTGGTGTGTCTGTCCGGCCCGTGGTGTGACCTCTGACCCGTGCCGGTGGTGTGTCTGTCCGGCCCGTTGTGTGACCTCTGACCCGGCCGGTCATGTGTCTGTCCGGCCCGTGGTGTGACCTGTGACCCGCGCCGGTCGTGTGTCTGTCTGGCCCGTGGTGTGACCTCTGACCCTGACGGTCGTGTGTCTGTCCGGCCCGTTGTGTGACCTCTGACCCGGCCGGTCGTGTGTCTGTCCGGCCCGTGGTGACCTGTGACCCATGCCGGTCGTGTGTCTGTCCGGCCCGTGGTGTGACCTCTGACCCGGCCGGTCGTGTGTCTGTCCGGCCCGTGGTGACCTGTGACCCGGCCGGTCATGTGTCTGTCCGGCCCGTGGTGTGACCTCTGACCCGTGCCGGTCGTGTGTCTGTCCGGCACGTTGTGTGACCTCTGACCCGGCCGGTCGTGTGTCTGTCCGGCCTGTGGTGACCTGTGACCCGGCCGGTCTGTGTGCTGCCTCCCTTCAGGCCTCCAGCTGAAGCCGTATCACAAGCCCCTGCAGCACCTGCGCGTCTGGCCAGAGATCGTCAACGAGCTGACCGTGCTGGATCCCCAGAGGGAAACCCCCCAGCTCTTCCTCCGCAGAGACGTGAGGCTGCCCCTGGATATCGAGAAAAAGGTTGGGTTCACAATGCACTCTTTGATCTACGAACCCTGATATGATCTCTTTTATTTTAGACTTCTGTTCTTTTGCTGTTTAAGTTCTGAATTCCAAGGTCAGGTCTAAGTGCATTTTAACATCAGTCATGCACAGAAGAGCTTTTGCATCCTGGATTGTTTTACTTAATTACTATGCAAGATTATTGACGTCCACAACAGCTCAAAATAAGGGGGGGAAGAGCAGGCAAACGCACTGCTCTTACTTTAGAAACATGCATCTGGCTTTCCCCCCTTGTTACAGGAATTGGTGCCATTTTCAGAGATAAAACTCGTAAAACCTCCATGTAGATCCTGCTCTCCTTTATAAAGAAGAATGGCAGATCATGATAAAGTAGATGCTTTTTAAGACCCCAGTGCCATTCCCCTTGTCTCCACTTTACAGCTTGCAATACTCATTGAGACCTTTGCCAGTAGTAATAAGACCTTACAGACTTGAGTCGGGGGGGAAACTGGGGGCCTCGCACAGCAGAGCTAACGCATCGCTCTTGAACTGCCTAGGTTGAAGACCCCCTGTCCATTCTCATACTGTTCGACGAAGCCCGCCACTGCTTGCTCAAAGGGTTCTTCCCCTGCCCTGACAGCAAGCTGATAACCCTGGCAAGCCTGCTGCTACAGATCATCTACGGAAATTACGAGAGTAAAAAGCACAAGCAAGGATTCCTCAAGTAAGAGCAAACGTATGGCCTTGGTTTATGTGTTTATGGGTTGTTTATTGTTCCATCCCATGGAGAAGGCCTATCTTCTTCAGTTACAGGGGGCTGTAAGGTCACCCGTCTTATGATAAATGAGAAGAACCCACATAGCTCAGTTGAGTGTTGGTAACTAAGCTAATTAATAGCAGAGAATATCATTCTGCCATTTCTTGAGCTAGAATATTTGATACTACGGCTGGGTAACTTTTTCTAGACTGCCTCTTTATGTAAAGAAGAGCCTACTGTTCTCAGTGTTCTCTTTTGGCCTCAATAGAGACTATGAATATGTAAAGAAAGTAAAGTAGGACACTGAAACACTTTAGAAGCTTCAGCTAAAATCCAGAAACTTGATCTTTGCAGACCCTTAAACGACACAATTAATCCACATATTTTTATATACAGAGGTGGTCGCAATCGTAATGCAAGTAATGTATTCTTTTTATGCTGTTTTGAAATCTTTTTCTTAACATATTCTTCTTTAACAGTGAGGAAAATCTGAAATCAATTGTCCCAATTACAAAGGTGAAATACAAAGCACATCATTGGACAAACAGGATTCTCCATGAATACAAGGTTGGTTTTATTTTTGCAGTGCCACATGAGTTTTTGTTTCACATGCACCTGGTTCTATATTTTGAAAATATATCTATATGTGAACCAAGACAATTTGGGGAAAATGCCTGGCTTTTCTTAATTATGCATTTTTTTGCATTCATTGTGTACAAAAAGACTTCATCAGGCTTTTCAATCACTAATTAGAAAAATTACCTTTCTGAAGATGCAATGGAAAAGCAGCTTTTTCTAGTGTCCACAGGGACAGGGAAGGAGGGAGCACAGTGAGAAACGGGCTTTCCAGCTGCCTCTGGTTGTGTTTCAGAGCCTCAGCACCAGTGAGGGTGTGAGCAAAGAGATGCACCATCTCCAGCGTCTCTTCCTGCAGAATTGCTGGGACATCCCCACCTATGGAGCGGCCTTCTTCACCGGCCAGGTCTTCACCAAGGCCAGCTCCAGCAACCACAAAGTCATCCGGGTCTCCATTGGGGTCAACACCAAGGGGCTGCACCTCATGAACATGGAGACCAAGGTGCTGCCATTGCATTTATCTGATTATTTCTGCTTGTGGGGAACGCACATTTCATTGACACCAAGACGCTTCTTAATGTCTCGGAGGTTTGAGCAGAGAGCTGCGTCAACACCACAGTGAGAGGGAGAAACGAGAAGCACAGCTTTTCAGCTCCTGCAGAAGGCCCAGCAGCCGAGACAGTGTTTTTCTTTCGGCTTTTCTTTAAATGCCGTTTTAGGAAAAATCACGGCTTATCATATTTTCATTCACACGTTTGAGTTAATAATACATTGCTAGTTCACCCTCTGAACCGCTTGTTGGTGTCTTTGGCCTGAATGGTGCAAAGGAAGTTGAAATAAAGCTCTCTTCTTTTTGACCCAAGGCCCTGCTCATCAGCCTGAAGTACGGTTCATTCATGTGGCAGCTGGGAGAGGCAGACCAGTACTTCCAGATCCACAGCCTGGAGAATAAAATGAACTTTATTGTGCACACCAAGCAGGTAAGAGGCAGTGGGCCCAGCCAGCAGTGTTGTGCTCCCTTCTCTTTACAGTGTGCTGCATGGTGTTGTGCTGAAATATAATTAACCTCAGACTGCGATTAAGGTAAAAAATAGTCGATCCATCTCCTGGATCTATGGGTTACATTTGCATTTTCTCCAAATACCTCTTCACCTTCCAAAGAAAGGACAGGTTTTACGTTTTTGCCTTTTTTTAAATTATATGCTATCCAGTAGCTTGTAATGTGGAGACTGTTGGATTATAGATTTGCCAGACGCCACAGGATGTGATCACCCGTCCTTTTTCCTTTGTCAAGGGGACTGGGGAGACCAGCTGTTTCCACCAGTTAATAACCAGCTGATCCAGTTCATCCACATGCAGGGAAGCTCTTTGAAAGGGGGATAGCCTGTTTACATGCCCCATCCCTCCTGTATTATTTTGAAAGGGCTTTTTTGTTAACAAAACTAGTTTTAAACAAAGGAATTCAATCTGCAGTTTGAAAAAAGATGGTACATACTACATTATGTGTACAAAATAATATATCTTACAACATTATAACCAACTTAAAATGACCCTGAGGTGTTGAGGGACTAGTTAACAGCTGACCTGCTTCTAGAAGCTGTAAAAGACCTTGATTACTTGTAAATAGACACAATAGGTGCTAATTAGTTTATTGATGGTGGTTGTCCTAATTCACACCTGGTTAAGTAATGGAATGTTTGGGTACATAAAGGACTTTCTCAGCACTTTCTGGTGGTTGTGTGCTTGGCAGCAGGCTGGGGAGACTGCTAAGGAGTAATTTTGTTCACAAAACCTACAGAGTCTCCGTGCTGACCAGTATTGTCCTTTGTGAGTTTTCATGAGACATCTTCAAATTTACTCTTCAAATAGGACAGGCTGTACACATCCATAAAATAACTTTCAATTACATGGTTACATAAAGAGGATTTAGACTGAGAAAGGTTATAGTTTTTTTTTTTCCTCCCATTCTTGTTAATAGGCTGGCCTCATTGTCAAGCTGCTAATGAAGCTGAGTGGACAGATGACGCCTAATGACCGAAGTTTATCTGACAAGTACGCCTATGGATAACTTGACGTTTAATGGACACAGATGAACGTTTTTGTTTAATAGTTCTTCATTGGTTTGTATGCGGGAGTGTTACTGGATTCTGTCCAGTCATTTCCAGAGTGGTCCTCAGCGTCTTGCTTCAGATGGTAGCCTCTTTATTAACTTTCACAGTTTTTTTATTGCTATTTTTGTAGTCGACATTGAGGTAGAGTTTCTTTTATGCTTTTTGTACATATGTATTATTGTTTCATTTTATTAAAGAGTATATATATTGCAGGGTGCCTGAGCATTCTTATCCAGCTATGTTTTTATCTGGAGTGCCCATCCATCTCGTTTCTAACTCCTTCATCCAGTTCAGGGCCAAGAGCCTATCTCAGCAAGCAGCAACGGGCGCAAGGCAGGGTTTACCTTGGTCGAGAAGCCAGTCCATCACAGGGCTCACACAAACGTACACTCGCTCACACCAGGAGCCATTTATGCCAGAACCCAATTAACCATAAGCCAATTAAGACCTACACTAACACGGGAGAACATACAAACTCCACACAGATAGCATCCCAGGTTTGGAACTGAACATGGGGGGACCCTGTGTTACCATGCTGCCCTGTGTGGATGTAAAGTATCGGAGGGATCTGAAGGTTGATCAGGATAATGTGATTTGAGAAGACGGCCCTAATGATTTGATTTGTGACACAATGACAGAGCTGAATCCAGGTCCTGGGATCTCTAGCAGATTCTTCTTCCTGACATTTAATAGCTCAATATTGGTATCAGTTCCCATGTTTAAACACTGGAGAAGCAACAAATAAAGTGCATGTTTTTTTTTTTCCCTTGAAACACAGAGCAGGAAGATGCTACATAAGGAAAACAATCTTCGGTGTTTATGTTCACAGATCATTTTCGTGTTCCAGACAATGTGGGAAAACAATGAGGCAAACAAAATGTTAGTCTAAGTGTAGAAGTTGAATCAGGGCACATTTAGGTTGTAGTATTGTTGCTCTGGAATCAGTCTGACCGGCATTGAGGACGTCAAACCAGTGGAGTTCTTTAGAATAGACAGTGAAAATTTGAGGATACAAGTGAAAATAACTTTAAAATGTATTTAAAAACCCAAGAACAAAAACCAGAGGGATGTGGGGGTGTGGACCTGGCTAGCCAGCCATGTCGTTGAGGCTGACGCCCCAAATTCCTTCAAGAAACAGGGGGATGAGGTCCTTGATCAATTGGCTGCTAACTACCAAACAGGGTAGACTGGTCAAATGCCCTCTTCGTGTGGGAACTATTTTTGTGTTCTTATGGTCCAATGTAATGGAGTCTAAAATTTCCTCACTAATAGTTTAGAAAGAATCATTCTCCAGGGTATATCAACACACCACCTTATTGAACGTCTGGATTATGTGTGGACATTTAGAAACCAATGTGAGAGGTTGTTGCTTTTAACTGAAACTGCTTTTTTGTATCCCGTTATACCACTAGAGGGAGTTAAAGACAGAAATACTGTAATGAGCGCAATCAATTACAGACACGTATAACCTTGCAGGCATCATTCCCAGTTTTGCAAATTCCAGTTAAAAACCACATCCCAGTTTCAGCTCCGTATATTTTAAAATACTGGAACTGGCAATTGATTTGCCAGACTGAATTGGCATACAATAATACATAACCATGAACGCACAAGAGAAAACAAATGTTATAGTGTTGTCTGATTAAGAAACATTTATGAAAGGAAATCTGAAGTTAAAACTAAAGTAGACTATATATTTCATAGGGGCTATAGCTTCTTCTCTCAGTGCATGTTCTTGTTTGGCTTTTCGGTTTCAGGAAACAAGATCGAACTGTACCTGTTAATGTAACTATAGCAACACATCTTAGCCTGACCCGAGTAGGTGAGGACAATATTAGCCTGACTTTGTGAGGAAGAGCACGCTTTGCCTACCAATCATTTTAAATGATCCGGTTAACGTGGGAGCAACTGTCAGGACAAACTTGTTCGGAGATGAAGTCTGGAGATCGCCACAGCCGTTTACAGTTCGCGTACATGTTTTTATTTGAAATATACTGTACAGTTTCAGCACACACGATCTCCTTTGATAATGTTACTCGTTGCAGCTCATCGCTAACAGAAGAAATACAACCTACAGTATGTGCACTGGGCTGCGATACTGGAGAGTGGTGCATTTCTTTGCTCCGTAGGCGACTCGGCGAGCTATAGCAAAGCCACAGTGTGCCGAACAGTAAGGAAAGCGATGTTTGCACTGAAAGACTTTGCATGCATTCATAGTTTTCTTGCTATGTATGAATGAATACCGTCGAACAGGTTTCATAAAATAGCAGGTAATATCGTCATATACAATATTATCCAGTGTACACGTAGCTTCTGTTTCCTGACGCTATGTACCCTTATCGAAACATGTTCTTTGTCAAATGTACAGCGGAATAAAATATAATCTAAAAAATTGTACATATGACACAATAAAAACTGTCTATTATTTCCACACCAGCAACATGTACAGTATATTACTCTCAACTACTCAGGTCTTAAATACAATGTTTTGGGAAGCAGTTTCATTTTACTTCATTCTTCTATGATTCAGGTCCACTTGAGTTTCACCTGCACCACCTTTTAAATACCTGCCCTTCCTGACTCAGACCCTGAAGCCCAGGGCTGCTTTCATTGGACTCTCACAAAGACAAGAGGCTGCACTGAGATCACATTTGGGATCTCGAAGTTAAGATTTCACTGTCTTGGCAGTCTGAGATTGTCCCCAGACAGGGTATGTAACATCACTGTCGCATGTGCTGAGCTGACTCACACTGCCTCCCTTAGGAAGGAGAGAGTTCCTCCCTGCCACCTCTATCCTACACTACCCTCCTCCAGTTCCTCTGGGTGAACAGGATCTGGCAGAGACATCGTAGCAGAAGAACATCATTCTAGTTAAACAGTGACCAATTATTTTAGGAAATATTTTTGGGGGTTTACATGAAGGTGAATTTTTTATTCCGATTATATTTAGGTCACGTTTTTACCTGGCTTGAGGCTTTCTGCAACATGGAGAAGGGGAAAGTGTCACCAACTAGCTAAATCACTCCAAAGCATGTTTGGGGAAAAAAAAGACAAAGCAATAAAGGAAACATGCTCTTTATTGTGAAGATGATGATGATGATGATTCCTATGAGGGAGAGAAAAAAGCAGTTAAATCAATCACCCCAAAAGCACTTAACACTCGAGTCATTTTAGTAAAGTGCTCGACGTGTACACACTTACATTCAGCTGCTTCTCAAGAAGCTTGATTTCCAGCTCCACCTTCCTCCTCTTTAGCCTGTAGTATTCTGTCTGTTCTTGCAGGTATCTCTGATAGGTGGTCTTGATATCTTCATCAAGGGTTTGACTTCTAGACCTCTGAAAACCAGCAATAAAGATGTAGTTACTGGCACAACCAGATCATACATTGAGAACATCTTGCACCTAGTGACACCTGTCATCTCCATGCTTACAGGCCTTGGGGTAGAAGGGCCAGCCTCTGGGTAGGGTGGATGTGGGTCAGTTTCCTATAGATATCAAGTTCACCACTCAGGGGGGCATACAGTCACGTGGGATTTACACTGATTTCGACAACTAGATTTTACCTTCACATGGTCAGAGAAAACAGAAATGGTCTCTTCATCTCTAACCTGTATGAGAAAGAAAAACAATGTGAGGTTTATAGCCACACACATCCACTATCAGCACAGCTTCCATATCGTGTATGTGGCAGCACAGGCTGTAACTCACAAGAGTGGCAAGTTCCCCTTTGTCCAAGATTTTAGGTCGTGGGTCCGGGAGGCTGACTGACCCACTGGTCACTGCAAAAGTAGGAGCAACATCATAACACGGTGGGAGAGAGACACCGTGGCAAGAAGTGCAAACCACAGAAAATGCAGTTAACCAACCTTTGTCTGAAGAGCGTGTTATGGTGGGGCTTGCCTGTTGAGAACAGCTGCCCCTAAGACGTCCGTCCTTTATAGGGCGACCCTGATCCTGCACAAGGCTGTGCAGCTCGTCGGCAGGGCTGAAGTCTTGGAGTGGGGAGCCCTCTCCGGTCTTCCTCTCCTCACGCTTCTTCTTGTTGGCTAAAATTAGGGAACACTTCCATTCAGAGGTTTGTGCTACGTGGTGCATAGTACAGCTCTCAGGAATAACCACTTACCGCTTTGGATGATATTCTTGTATTTGGTCTTGACCTGCTTCCAGGTCCTCTTGACTCCCATTGTGGTACAGCTGGATGCATAAATTGAATTAATTGGGAATTAACCTTTATGTCCCCTAAGCGAATTTACTTGAATTTTCTTAAAATCCCTCAATTACTGCTGCATTAAAACAATGCTGTGCAACTACACGATGGCTTAAATAGAAGCTCCACTTCGATGCCGTAATGGTGTAAGTTAAGGAATCACAATCAACGCGTGCTGACCCTACTTAGTTTTATCATTTTCAGAGACGTTTCATTGCATCAAGTAATTAACTTACGCATTCAATTTATCAGCGATTCTTTGCCAGGCATCTTCTCTGGCTTTTGCGGCAGCTAGGGTGTTGTTCCTTGCTGTTAGAACAGATTTTTCCTTCTCATAGTTCTCCATAAGCAGCCGCAATTCGTCCACGCTGAAATAAGACGCGCGTTCTTTTGCCATGATTTCGTTTGCGCGGACGGACGATCGCCGTTTAAAGGGCGGCTTGCACTCAGAGTTTGCGCCTGACTTGCTTTAACCAGACAAATGAAACCAGATTTTGCTCTCGTGAAACCGGAGCGAAGCTGAAGTCAGCTATTGGGTTAATTCAACCCGGCTAACTTGAGAAAATCCCGAAGAGGTCAAACCTGCTTTGTGAAGCAGCCTCAGATACGGAAACCTCTTCAGACCTGAATTCAGTCTTCTGTAAGAGGACACATATCTTGGTCTGGGAATCAATTAATCTTGGAGTTTTGAGCTGGGGGTGTGTCACAAAGCAAAATTACTCAGTCAGCCGGGTAACTTTAGTAAATACTGTATGTTGACAAAGGTCTGGATTTTCGGTTTCAGGAAGCAAGACCGAACTGTATCCGGTTAAGTAACTATAGCAACACATCCTATTAGCCTGTTCCGGGCAGGATAGTTCAGTCTTAGCCTGGCTTTGCGGTTAAGCGCTGTACTCACAGACCAATCAGCCCCCTGCAAAACAAATGATGTCACGTTTCTTAAGGGATCCGGCTGATGTTGAAGCAACCATCAGGAGAGCTTTGCAGAGAGAATAGCAGCCACTATACATGTAGCCGTTCCCTGTAGCTATATACCGTGATCTAAACACTTTCTTGCACGATCTCTCAATGTAATAGGCGCTCTGGACTGCACAGGCATTAAAACCCCAACAGGGCCAAGCAAGGCTGATTTTGTTTACAGAAAGTAAATTCACAGTATAATAATAATAATAATAATAATAATTGCTAACACTTATATAGCGCTTTTCTGGACACTCCACACAAAGTGTATAAATGTATAGGTGAAAAAATGCTATTCTAAAAAGATATGACCACTGCTTACACAGGGCACAATCAAAACTGTCAATAATTTCCATTTCAAGTTTTTAAACGTGTACCTACAGTGGGTGTTAGGTAGATTCGGGAGTTCTGAATCATATTAATGTACAGTTTCTGTCATCACCATGATTCCAATGTTATCAGATTGATCTGCGAAGCATGGTGTCACATCAGCATCAGATATTTAGAGAATCTATGCTGTGTTATACATTCGAGCAAGGTATGGAAGAAAAACAATCATTCCAACAACCATGAAGTACACTGTGTTGTGAAACAATCACGTTTAGTTCCAGTAACCTGCTTTTCCAGTTAGTGCCCTTGACCTCTTCTTTGGGGATAGTTAAACAGTGACCAGTTATTTTAGGTCACTTTCTGCACTTTGGTCACTTTCACAGAGGCTTCAATAGGAGCTCCAGTTCAATGCCATTATAACGTAAGTCACGACAATACACGTGTGCTCACGCCATTTGGATACTTTTGTCATATCTTAAGATATGGCATTATATTACATAATGTAGTTCATTCAATTTCTCGGTGATTCTTTTCCAGGTGTCTCCTCTGGCTTTGTTATCTCTTAAGAATGTTTAAACTTGACTTGCTTTAACCAGACAACTGAAAACGAAACGTATTTTGCAATCATGAGATGGGAAGCAAGCCTGAAGTCAGTCATCAGGTTAATTAAATCTGGCTAATCTGAGAAAATCTTAGTTAAACCTGCTTGGTGAAATAGCCTCCTGAAATAGCAGTTTAGGAATTTAAGATGTGTTGCTATAGTTACTTAACTGGTACAGTCTTATCTTGCTTTGAAAAGCCAGACCTGTGTCAACATATTTATGAAAGTAAACCGGCTGATCTCACTTTGTGTAATACTGTACCTCCATGAATTACACAGAATAGGAAATATGCCCCTTAGATGCTATGTGAGTTTTGAATACATAGAGTTATGTAAAAACAGTCTGTATAAGCAGAGAAAAACACCAAACAATACTTTCAAGGCTGAAAAAGGTGAATATCCACTGCAAATTAACACACAGAAGAGAGCAACATCTCCTATCACCACGAGGCCTTAATAGCTCCGAGATGAGGTCCCTCTGCCAGTTGGCCTGAGGCTCAGTGACAACAACCAGCCTTCAAATAGCACTGCTACAACACCACTAATCAGAGTAAAGCCCAACAACTGGACCTCACCCACTGGACCCTAAAAAGACTAAACTCACTGACTGAGTATCTGACCAGGCTAAGAGCCAAAAAGGAGAAACAGAGAGGACAGGCTCAATGACCACTGCCTTTCCATAGAAACTGGGCGACAATTTGATCAGACAGACCTCGGTCCTCTCTGGACAGTAGGTGGCTGCTCATACAGTACAGGCTGTGCTCCCACTGCCAGCAGGGATAAGCAGAGCCTGGGCTGCACTTTGTACTGTGCTGTAAAAAAAACACTGAGGGATCACACAAACAGTGTTCTCTAAAATCACTAATCTAATCTCAGACTTTCCCACACCTGGCAGAATCAGAACAGATTCCAATGCTCCTGGGAGAGAGAGGAAACTCAGTAAAGCTGAGCCCCACTATGTGATCTCCTGTCACAGCATGAGAAACAGAAAATGAGCCTCTCTAATAATAATAATAA